TGTGATATACTAGCCCGCAATGTTAGACTTTCTTTTTGAAAGACTTTGTCGGGGGAACTTACTGCTAGCCATCCAACCCATGGGACATCCTGCATTAGCTGGCCCACCGACAGGACATATCCACCAAACACAATGCAAAGCAACACAGAAACTCCGCAATAGCGCAAGGCAACCTCGAAATTGTTGAACAGCGCTGCAAAGACACGGAACTGCGCTGTGAGACAAATCGTGCACGTATAGATGAAGAGGAAATCGATAAAGAATGGGCCAGCCTAATCGAGAGTTAGCATATCGAAACAGGATGTATCGGCAGGGATTACCTCTGAGCGCAGACCTGATAAAAAGTACAATACAATCAGGTACAGGAATGTAAGAACAGCAGCTACGACCAAGTCCGCAAAAACCCGAGCCAGACAGACAGCACTCGGTCGTACAAAGGTGAACTTCTTCTGACGAGTCTGGATCTCCTTACCCTGCATTGCGTCTTCCAACTCGGACATTTGCAACCAAGCAAGCAGAATAGAGGAGTAAAATAATACACCTCCGCGCGAGTAGATGCCTTCCGTGGTCTGGGGCTGATCATAAAACATAGATCCCACCAGCAGCCCGTAAACTACACAAGAGATCAATTTGATGTACAGGGGACTCATGTGGCCTTTCATCTGCCACATCTGTCGTTTTGAGCACAGCACAATCTGCCGGAAGAGGGAGATTGTGTATGGTGATTTGGATGACACGAAACGAGATTTGTCGCTTTGGATAGTTTTCTTGAGCTCATCCACACTGCCAGACTCCGAGCCAGTCTGACAGACCGAACCACCGTTCAGTCGCCTGGTCTCGTAGTCCTTGACCTCTTCATTGATCTTCTTAAATGCAGTACTTTGTCGGAATGCATTCTCGAGTTCAATTGGTCCCTTGGGTGCACGGTCTTCCCAGCCTGGACGAAACCTGCGTCGTTCAGGAACAGGAATGCTGGTGAGAAAATCAGATGTTGTCTGCATGTCGGCACATTCATAGCCCAATTCCTCGAAATACTTCTTGGCTTCGTTGGCCGGGCCTTGGAAGAGCATTCGCCCTTCTTCAATCAAGATTACCTTGTCCACCAACTCATATATAGCATCAGATGCTTGGTATAGCGTAAGGAGAGTCGATTTTCGGGAGGTGTCTGTCATGATCCGAAGAGAGCGCGCATAGTCCAGAGCAGAAGACGCATCCAGGCCCCTGGTGGAATTATCCCAGCATATCACGGAAGAGTCGGTGGCCAAAGACTCGATGATAGAAATCCGTTTTCGCTCTCCCCCCGAAACGCCTCGTATATACTCGTTACCCACCAGCGTATCCATGGTGTGCGACATGCCGAAGACCCGGCTGTAGATCTCAAGATACCGTGGGATGCGCTCACGGTATCGTTTCGGCGTCTTGCTCTGCAACGCAAACTCCAAGGTCTGGCGCACATTGAGTGTAGGAAAATGGACGTCGTCCTCGGGCACATAAGCCACGGCTCCCCGATAGTGCTTCTGGACCTCCTCTAGACTAAGACCAGAGTAGTCAATTGAACCAGTCACCCCAAGGAAAGACGAGTGGTGTCCAGCAACTGTGCGAAGAAAAGTTGAACAGCCCGCGCCAGGGCGACCGAGCACGCTAAAGATCTGTTAGTCTTAATTCACACCATCAACCATCAACCCCGGTCAAACTCACAGCATGATCTCCCCACTCTGTACAACTCCGGAGAAGTCTCGAATGAGAGGACGTCCATGTTGGGGCTTTTTGCTTGAAATCCACGGCTGGATTGTCCATTCATAGACATCACGCATAGTCAGTGTCCGCCACAGCGCTGTAGCTAAAGTCTTGACATCGGCGTGGCTGTTTCCCTCTCCCCAGGTTGAAAGTGACTGGAAGCACACACCCCGATTCGACCGTTTCTTACCACCCTGGGCTTGTTCCTCGAGGAATTTATCAAAAGACGAGTGCGGTTCTGGATACTGTGGATGGTCCTTCTCCGTCAGACATCGATGAATATCGGCGATGGCATCCTCGTCCTCATGAGATGCGTGCACGCGAGGAGGGTCATTCTTGTCCAGGTTGGCTTCCGAGGCGGAGGCAAAGACCGAGCTATGAGGATGGGGGTAAAGAGGAGCAGGCATTCTGCACGCTTCTTAGTGCTATGGGTTGCAGGTGTATAGAGAATCCTGCATCTTTGTGATGAAGAGGAGTATAAAAGAGACACTGGGCGGGGGTGTTTTTTTTATGTACTGAACTACTAGCCGGGAAGGGAAGCCAAGTACCAAGCTAGTGGAGTCTTTTGTGAATCATAGCATGGCAAGAATAGAAAAGAAACCGCGACCCAGGGCGTATCACCCTTTCTATCTGATAATCTTGGATCTAAAGGGTTCGACAAGCGATCCGGTTGGTCAACCCTGAAACTTCGGTGAATCAGACCTCCTCATAGTGCCCGACTCGGGCAGGCCATCAGAGAGTAGCATGGCGGACTCCGCGGGTGCCGGCAAAATTGAAGACAAAAACAGGAAGCCAAGACGAGAGCTCCACCGGGTGGTGGCGGATGATTCGATCTGACAAAGGGTGGGACTATCCTGACGGCAATTGAAATCCACTTTGTTCAAACTCGATCAAGGTAAAGTTGCGCTGTGTGTAGAAATACACATTCTAACAGTAGTCATATTATTATGATCGATTAATAATGTAAGTTCGGTTATAAATGGCATTGATCACGGTCGACGGCTGCCTACTATCGTCACTACATATTCAAGTATTCATCGTCCCTATTCTTCTTCGAGTAGTGCAACTGCCTGTGAAGACACCAATTCAGAGCAACCGGAAATAATTGATACCGAAGACATTAGATTCAACATTAGACACATAGGACTGATGTTCGTTAGTAATATGTTCATAGTCCGGAACTAACTATTCTGTCCACCGCCAAGGACCTCCGACCTCCCACACCCACTTCAACCTCCCCCAACCAAGAGGATGCGCTACAATGCCCTAATCCGCACACACCACATAACCTCGCGCAAGAAAGTCGCTGCGCTCAAGCGAGCCGCTGACACTCACCAATGCTCCGTGCTCCTCCGCTACGGCGGCTGTCCCGGCATCATGTACGTCGAGGGGGACGGATGCGACAGAGTGAATGCCTGGCTGAGCGAAGTGCGCAAGCTGAAATATAAAGATTTTCAGCTGGTGGCGAGGCCGGGGCTACTTGTACTTGAGAATGACGACGTTAAGGGCCGCAGCAATGCCAGTAGTGGCTCAGATGATCTTGCAATGGGGGTGTCCGAGGTTGATAGCGTCAAGGAGTTTGGGAGTCGAATGGCTCAGCGTGGAGTCTGGGGATGGTGGCGGAGCGGAATGGGATACACTTAGTACGGCGATAGTCGACGTTCTACTATCACAGGTACGCCAATTCACAATCATCAGGTCATTCAAGGTCGTCTAATGCTATACATATACAAGTCAAAACATCCGCCAGCAGATCAGGCCCAAGCGTCGCGCCGAAACACAAGTCATTTAGAACTGCAGTCCCCGTCGGATCAGTTCTGGGCAGGGTAGCTCAAGAGCTGGCAAATTTCCTGGAAGCCAGTATTAGCACCAATCTCGCCCCAGAATGGAGCCACTCTCACCTTGCGTCGTTTCCGGAAATCATCGTACAGCTTCTTCCACGCAACACGGTTTTCGCAACCGCTCTCCTGCGGTGATCCGGAGAAAAACTTGCAGCGGGGCTGGGAATCGGCCAAATCATCCGCCGACCACATCACCCACGGCTTCCAGTCATTAGAGAAATGAACTAATGCTGCCTCGGCCACAGCCTTTTCGGGGTTCCACTCCTCGCGGTCATTGCCCAGGTAGTGCCCGTGGTCCTTGGCGTGGAACTCGCCCGTGACTAGGCCGTACTGCCGGTGAGGAAGCACCAAAGCTGAGTCGGCGTAGCGATTGTTCAACAACTCCATATCGTAACGGTTCCCGGTCGTGTCCAACTCGAGCTGGCCATGCGCCGCGGCCAGGGCCGCATCCTTCAGGGCATAGTATTCGGCAAAAGAGGGTTCGAGGACGACCAGCAGCGAGGACAGCTGTCGTTCAGGCAGGAGCCAGTATGCTCGGGGCATCGCGACCGGGGCAGAGGGCAAGAAAAACAACTCGTCCAGGTTCTGCAGGAGGGTCACGTCGGAATCGAGTTGAATGATGCGATCGTACGCGGCCTCGGCGAACGCGAAGAATTTCGAGATGCTCTTATCCCATGACTGCTGGGATCCTAATCAAGATCAGTCAGCTTTGGTGTTGTTGCATACAGTGTAACAACACACCTTCTTGGTCAGGTTTCTTGATCCCTTCCATCGAAACCGGTACCACCCGCACGTTATACTTCTCCTTGGCCAGCATCAACAACTGACTCGTCCGGTCTTCATCATCCGACACCACCAGATCCCAATCCTCTGGGTAAAATAGCACGCGGTCCGCTCGACTGCCATATCGATGCAGGGCCTCGAACACCATGAGGGCATTGCAGAGATAGGTCGAGGAGGTCGCATACTGGGTGTAGGCAAACCGCGACCAGTCGACCTTGTTGTAATTTATGTGCGGGATGGTCGGCGGAGGCGGTGCTGGTCCTTCACGCCGGCTCCAGAGGAAGAAAAGGACGAGGACGGCGAAGAGGACCCAGGTTCGGATATGGCGTAGTTGGCGTTTGACCACGGCCAGGCATGACTCGTCGGGAAGATCAAAAAAGTCCTGCTCGGATACGGCTGAGTCCCGGCGTTTGGCCTGGACCCTGGGGCTGTTGGTCACCATCGTCGTCGGTGTCCGAGAGAGAAACAATCATGGATCGACGCGGTCGACCGTGAACGAGAAGGGCTTAGTCATCTCGATCTACCGTAACCAAGTTAGTGTATTAACTAGGAACATTTGGAAGATCAATCTTGAAATTCTTCTGGTTTTAACAACTATGTATTTACTTGTCCACTCCGTATATACTCCGGACCAGCTCACTAACACATCTCCTCGGTGCGCTGCGGTTCTCCACCGTGCGGAAGCAATCGAGCATCGCCCGACGAGGTCGAGTGGTTATCATCCACATGCACGATGATGTCCGTCTTCACCGTCACTTGGCCGTCGTTGGCCGGCTGCCGTGCGTTGTAGCCCCTGGATACTCGACACCGTTCGTTTAAGCCCCATGGATACGGTGTCTGCTCGTCATCATGCTCCCAGTGTGCCCCCATCGATGATTCTAGCGGGTCCTTGCCCCGGGTTTTCAACTCGGTATCATCAGAGTTGTTTTCCTTGGTCGCAGACCGAGATCGGGACCAGTAGCCATGAGGTCGGCCTATGCGGCGCTGATCAACGATCGTTCGGAGGAAGATTCGAGCCACGGGGGCGCACGACGCCAGCAAAATACTATAATTCTCGATCCTGCAAGTATAGGAGTTAGCCACTAATCCAGCACAGAGAGACACAAGGATACACACTTGACCCAGAGCACAAAGGATACGATATTATACGTGAAGTCGAGTCGATCACCGAGGGACTTGAGTTTCTACACTACTGTTAACTTTGAACATCCAACATCCACAAATCACTCACGTAGGTCTTGACAATCGACGCGGCCCCTGACAGTATCAGAGGTCCGCTAAGGGTAAGAGTCTGCCAGATGCGGCGGGACCGGACGGTATTATTGATCTTGCGGAACTGATACCAGAAGGACACGTTGGGTTCCCGGTGCAGAGTCCGCAGGAAGAACTGCCAGAGTTCCACAGCAGCCAGGATGCCGAGGAAGAAATCAATACAGGAATTGAATCCTCCTTGCACAAATCCAACGGTTGTCTGGACGGTGGGAGATTGGCACTTCACTGAGCCATCGGCCGGCAATGCGGTCCACATATAGTGGAAATATTGCACCCGATCAGTCGCGCGATACGGGTTCGGCCCACACTGGACGATGATCTGGACAATGGTGATCATGTTGACCACAACCTGCACGATGGCGCAGACGACGATGGACAAGCGGATTCTCCTGTCGCTGGCCGCGAAGCATGTCGCCAAAAACCACATCATGCCCGTCCGGGAGATCATGGCCGATGCCACCGCTGCCGAGCTTGAGTCAGTGCCGGACTAGATCGAGACAATCCACCGACATACCGATCGGTTGGGACATAAAGTCCCATTTCATCGCGTGTGTTCTCTGTTCCTCGTTGAGGTAGAAATAATGGCGACCTAGACCCCAAGATGCGGACGTTTGGATCATGCTCATATGAGTGACGTCGCAGCCATAGGCGATGAGAAAGAGGACATCTTCGTACCCCCAGACCCTCTCTGGCGCGCTGACCTGTGGCATCATCCAACGAATCCAGATCTTGACGCCATAGCGGAACAGGAGCGCGACGCCGACAATGGCCGTGAGGACCTGTCGCTCGTGTCAATGGCTGCAATTCATTGATTTTCAGGCGTATCTTACCCAGCAGGCAGCAAATGTGGCCGACCCTATCCAGATGTCAGTCCTGTGTCCGGTCAGGGCGCTGCACCATGGGGCAACACACCGATATCAATATCGCCTTCATTTGGCCGCGGAATGCTGCTGCTCATTGTGCGGGATGAATGCAAGGGCCGAAAAGAAAGTAATGGAACAAAGGTGGGATGGACTGGGCGATGGCCGATGCAGCGCGAAGACGCAATTCAAATAGTCGCATGGGGAACAGAGATTCCTCAGACGGTTCATTCGGATCGTCCGATGGCCGAGTTAAACGACAATAAACTCTGGATGTACACCTTACAGGTCATGTCCTGGCGAGCGAGAGAGGTCATGGGCCCGCGAGCTGACCGGTCGCAAGGGATACCAGGCAAACCCAGCGATGAGTCCGAGCTACATTCGAGGACCTGGAATGGGTGAACCGTGGGCCATGGCCATCCCTGTCGGGGAAGATACTCATCGCGTTCAACAATCATACCTTCCCATCCGTTGCTGCCATGATGACCTGTATGTGCATAGAGGGTCCATGTGGCACCATGCCGGCCATGCGATACGCAACCCAGTCGGTTATGCAATGAAAGCACCCGAATGCTCGGCACCCAAAAGAAAAGAATGTGTACAAACGATGGTTTTACCGGATGCGTCAACCGGACTCGGAATCGTTGGAACTGACTGGGGTTGTCGACCCTGTCATGGAGTGGATCCGGCTCAGCTCCCGCCGAAGCAAGGGGCGTCGTCTATGCAATCCCATTCCACTAGCCGGCCACTAGAGGGTGATCCATGGGGCGGATCGCCGGAAGATCTCTCAGATCACCACCGCGTATTTACCTGTTCTAGCCCCAAACCTCGGGGTCTCGAATATTTTAAAAAAAAAAAAAAAAAAAAAAAAAGACATGTCTCGAATTAGCATTTATTGTACTTCTTTGTCTCGGTCGACACGCCGCATCTCCACTAGTGACTCCCCGGCCTTCGCATACGCCTCAAAAGTGACCTCGAGTCCCGCCACGCTGGCCAACTGGCGCCATTCGGTGGCGCTGCGCTCACGCCCGCCAAACAGGGCAATCATGCTGGCATGCAGGGACGTGTAGGTCATATTCTTGGCGTACTCATGTATCAGCAACCGTGACTCCGGTCCCATGGCACGCGAGATCTTCTGCAGCAGGGCTACGGCATCCAGGTCCGGCAGATTATGGACAATATGCTGCAGAGAGTAGACCCGCGCACCCTTGATAGGCTGCTCGCCCGGTTCCTTGTAGTTCCACTCCATCAGACGCACTCCCGACACATTGTCGATTTCCGCGTTGAACTCCTGCACCACCAGACTCTCCGGTGTCAGGTGGGGATATGCCGCCTGGACCTCGAGTAATAGTTCCCCGCGCCCGCCCCCGATGTCGACCATGGCCACTGAGTCAGGGTGCCCGGACAGAGCGGCGTCTAGATCATACCCGAGCGACTGGACGCGCTGGGGCATAGTGCCGAACTTGAGGAACTTGCCCACCATGAATTCGTTGAAGCTGTCCATGCGGCCGGTCTTCTCCATGATCGAGTATGTATGTTCTTGGGCCAGATCATCTTTGCCCATTAGCCGGTACGCGTATTGCAAGGGACCATCTGCATCAGCAAAGGGATACTCAAAGTTGGTATCTTCGAGCTTCTTCATTAGGAATGCCCCAGCCATCAACCCCTCGGTCGTGCTAACGGTCGCCGTCAGCACCTGTCCTTCTTTCATCCGGTCAGACTCGCTCACAAATGCAAGGCCCCATGCTGCGCAGAAGGCATATTATCCATGTGCCTTGTAATGGCGTTCGCGGCAAAATGATCCTCGTCTACCCGATCCACCAGGCCCAGCCCGGCCATGATGTAGAGCGTATCCGCTATAGAACGAGTAAATATACACCTAACATGCAAACAGAAGCCCACCTACCGGCTAATCTGGTACCTATGCGCCGGTCAGTCTGTGCCCAATCTCTAGAGGGACCAGTCAACCTACCGAGCTGAGCCTCGTTTTTGGATCGGGCCTGGTTGCAAGCCGCGGCCACTTCGTCTGCGGTCGCCGGGCTGTGATGCACCAGCTCGCTGAACATGTTAAAATGCACGGCGACCGGTACGAATCCCAATGATGCTGGCTGTGTCTTCTCTCAATCACCCGTTCATGCTGGTCTGAAACAAAACAAGACTAACCACAGTGACAGTCGCCGCTAGGGCTGCGCCCGGGGGAACGGCGGGGCTGGACTCTCTGGAGAGGCCCAGCCGCTGGACCAATCGCTGAAGAAAAGACATGGCACAGGGAATCAGTCCACAAAAAAAGCCGGCTTGGTGTAAGTTAATGAATCTACACAACGCAAAGAGAGGGGGTTCTTTAAGTCATAGATTCCTGGCGAGCAATGCCAGATTCCTCGGCAAATAAAAATAGAGCATACACATCCGATGCACTAGCGCCACGAACTATCGCAGACCGCGAGCTATCGCAGGTCCTGGCTGTTCGAGGCAAATCGCCGAGGCAATTACCATGGATTGGGCCATCACATCGCCCGGGATCGCCTGGTGGGGCCCCGGGGGATCTGGAAGGGATGGATGGGATGGGATGAGTTCGTTTTCAATGGAACACTTAACCCTAAAAAGGGGGGGGTCGATACATCACCCGAGAACCCAAATCCCGTTCCAGAACCATTCTCTCTGTCCTTTTCTCGCTCCTGCACGACCCAAGCCACGCGACAGAATTCTCTTGCCATGTGTTTGACTGTTTTCCGTGCATAAAACCCCTGGTCCGACCTGTTTCCAACTACACATCACTCAACCTTTCTATATTTCATATCGTGCCTTACAGCTTGTACAGCATGGAGAAGTTCTCGTCGATGGATGACACGGAGATGGGCGAAACGGCCAGCCAGTCTCGCTCGCTCGAGTCGCAGTTCAAGTCCTCCGAGTCCAATGACCCCCAGGATCCCAAGAACTGGAGCACCGCGCGCAAGACACTACTCTTTATGTCGCTCATGTCCAGCTCGCTGTTGGCGGACGGGTATGTCTTGTCTCTTTTCCAAGTAGATGTCAAGAAACTCATGTCGGCAGCGCAATGGTCTGGGGTTCTACCCTGATCACCCAGCAGGCCATGGATTGGAACATTCCCATCACACATTCGGCCACGAGCATGAACTATGGCATTCTGTTGCAGGGCTTCGGTGGTATCTTTGTCGTTCCCCTTATCGAAGCCTATGGTCGGTGAGTACACACCTGCGGTTATTGAACAATATATGACTGATCGTCCTTCCAGTCTGCCAATGTGGTTGTGGCCACAGGTGCTGACCATGTTCATGGTCCTCGGCGCCACGCTCTCTACGAACTACTCGACTTTCACAGTCTTTCGGTCTCTTCAGGGTCTGTTCGGTACCGTGCCGCAGGTAATCGGTCTCCCTATCATTCATGACATGTACACTCCAGCTGGTCAGTTTCTCTATCTATACCTGAGATTCCGGAGCTAACCGTCTGGCTTATAGAATGGCCGCTCATGATCAACATCTGGTATGAAATTGGATGACTGTATCGGGGGTAGGATGGTTGCTAACAGGAGAAACAGGGGCACAACATTCCTGGTCGGTCCGTTTCTCGGGCCCGCCATAGCCGGATACATCGGGGCTGGCACAGATTGGCGCATTTCCTTTGGTGTCCTGGCGGCCATCTATGGTGCATCTACAATCGCCGTGTTGGTGTTTGGCCGCGAGACGTATTATACACCACACCGTTCAGGACCGGCTCCTTCGCGACTTGCGCTGTGCTTGGGTATTGGCAACACCCAGCTCCCAAAGAGAGCGACTCTTTCGTACTGGTGCCGCATGGTCGTGATCTATGTCTTCAAGTTCCCGCTGTTCATGACAGGTAAGCCACAGTCTACACTGATAGGTATCATGGAGACTAATCGAAGTGCAGGCCTCGCGATTCTGGTCACATTCACTTGGCCCATCGGTATCACGACCACCATCGACACCTTCCTGCACAGCCCCCCGTACCTCTTCGACACCATCCAGGCATCATCCATGCGCTTTGCCGGTGTGATCGGTGCCCTGTGCGGTATGTCTGTTTGATGTCGGGTCCTGTATCTCGCTGACAGTCTCAGGCTGGATCTTTGGGTTCTTCTTCAACAAGTGGATCTACAACCACCACCGGGCAAACTGGAGGACCGAATACCGGCTCCACGGAGTTTGGATTCCCATTGGCAGCATGGCAGCTGGTCTGCTCACGTACGGTCTGACGATGAACTTTCACAAGCATTGGATCGGGATCGCCTTTGGTTGGATCCTGGTGAATATCGGCATGGTGGCCACTATTGTGTAAGTCTAGCCCGACCACGCTGTGACTCTGTCTCCATCTGACACTGACGGTTAGGGCCATCTCGGCGTATGCGTTGGAGAAATACCCGGGCCAGGCGACCTGCGTGTCGGCCATCCTGAATATGTGGCGCACCTGCGGCGGGTTCGCAGTGGGCTACTTCCAGCCAGCCTGGATTGCCCGCAATGGCCTGGGCCTAGTGTTTGGCATCCAGGCCATTGTGGTCTGTGTGGCGATTGTCTTGACCATTACTCCGGTGCTGCTGTGGAGGCGATCGCGGCAGCCGAGTGGGAGTGTCTGAGGGCTGGACACCCAGCGACGTGATAGGTCAATGAAGTGATGCGAAGATGGACTCTAGATACACCTACACCTATTGCAAATATATTCTGCTCTCTATACCTCCAACCGGCCACTTCGGAATAGAGTACATCACGTGTTCACAATTGCTGCCTCAGGCACTTATCTGTTCTCTTTTGGCCCCCCATCCATGGGTCTCTGATCGCCGCATGTTACAGTCGCTTCATCTTTTTCTCCTCTTCCGGTCCCTGAAGAATCAATGATGCCATGACCACTCTGCACCCTTCGACGAAAACACCTGCCTCTGCCTAGCCAAGAACCCCTGAGATCCATCGCGATCCCCTAAACTAGTAACTAAAGCAGAACTGACGAACCGAACCCCACTGGCTTCCGGCGATCCTTTCCTGTCCCTGGGCCTGCACCTGTAGCCGATGACGCTACGATGTGGGCCAATTCCGGCGATGGTGACATCTCGTTGGCTGTTCGCCCGCGTGGTCTCCAATGAACACGCCAGCACCGCCTATCAAACATGGGGCTGCTCTGCTTCTGTTTGGAATATGTACCTGCCCCGTCCTTCGGATCCCATGGGTCGCTTCTCTGACGTACGAAGTGTCGCATTCGCAGCGCTCCACTGACCGACACCAGATCGTCCTGACCCTTTTTTTTTCCCTTGTCCAGCCTTACGCTCTTCCCTCATCCATTCTCTCCCCTCTTCTCTTTTACCTATTCTCTCCTTCATGGCTTCAATGAGCCTCGCTTTCTCTCGCTAAACCCAGCATCAAACGCCTCGTGGTGACCATGTTCAGTACTTCGCGGCGATGGCTCCTCGTCGCCTCCCCCTGCTGGCCCTGTGCCTGCTCTACTATCTGTCGCAACCCCCGGATCCCCGACCGGCTGGGGGAAAGGGATTGGGGAGCTGGACACAAGAATCCAAGAACCAGAACACCTTGACAGTACAAAGTGACGATATGGATTCGTTAACTGCGACAGACCCTTGTGGTCGCCAGCCACGGGACCTGGATGACGTCTTTGTCGTCATCAAAACCGGGGCCACCGAGTCCCAGCAAAGAATCCCGGTGCACTTGCGTACAACCCTCCAGTGCGTGCCACATTTCGCCATCTTCTCCGACTACGAAGAGACAATCAACGGTGTCCAAGTCCATGATATCTTGAAAAACGTCAGCAAGACCACTATGGAGAAGGAGCCCGAGTTTGAGCTGTATCGGCGTCTCCAGGAGGTTGGCCGAGAAGGCTTGACGGACGAAGAGTGGGGAGACGACACGAACGGCCCCTTGGGCAAGACCAACAATCCCGGGTGGAAGCTAGACAAGTGGAAATTCTTACCTATGATCGATTCTGCCCTGGAACTCAAGCCTGACGCCAAATGGTACATCTTCGCAGAGGCTGATACCTATTTGGCTTGGCCCAACCTCGTGAACTGGCTTGCACACCTTGATCACAACGAGCCTTACTACATTGGGAGCCCTATGCAGATTGGAAACGAGCTCTTTGCATACGGCGGGTCAGGCATCATCCTCTCTGCCCGCACGATGCAGCGCTTAAGCAGCTACCGTGCCCGTGCAGAACAGGAGATGGACAAAATGACGGCAGAGGAGTGGGCCGGCGACTGCGTGCTGGCTCGGGCACTCGGCCAAGTCCGAGTATCCTTGACATGGGCTTGGCCCATGATGTTGACCGTCACACCTTCTGAGTTAGACCATTTCTCTGAGGGCTACGGCCGTCAGCCATGGTGTTACCCGGCTATATCATATCACCACATGAGCCCGAAAGATATAGAGGATATGTGGCGCTTTGAACGTGCATGGTTTTCCTCCGGCAAAAACGCCCTCCTCCTACACGCAGACGTCTTCCGAAAACATATCCATAACGCAAGCCTATCCGAGCGAAGCGACTGGGACAACCTTTCTAACGTGAATATTGATTCCGTCTCGTCCGCAGAAGCCTGCCACGAGGCCTGCAGCCACGATTCGGACTGTTTACAATGGTCTTTCGGGGCCAACGAAGGCTGCAAGCACGCCTCTACGACACTGCTAGGTGTACCTACTAATGGTACTCACTCTGGGTGGATGAAGAACCGAGTCCAAAAGCTACTGGATCTGTTTCAGTCGTCTTGTCCACAGGTGGAATACATCTTCGACTGATCCCTTCCCTCTTTTCACTTTCTTTATTTTGTTTCCTTCGCAAACTCTTAATGTGTCGGGCACCCTGTATATACTATACCACCATTTTCTTTGGTTCTCGAAGTGAGGAGCGTGTGTGTCTTGTCTGTTAGGGATGGACGGTTTATCGGGCAAAGGCGTTTTTGGGAGTCTCTGTTCTCTGTCCGGTCTTGTGATCACCAATTACTTTCAACGTTGATGTTGCCTCCCTCGTTTTTTTGGAGCGCTACTGATACTCTGGATTACAACACTTCTTTTTAAAACATATCTTAGTATTTATTTTACAAATAAAATTTGTTTCGCGCAAGCGTGGATCCATTCACGCGAACGAACTTAGCCTCGTTCTTCATGTATTTCTGACATCAAGGTGAGGATCAAGTGAACCACTTGAGTTGAATTCATCGATCTCCTCGTTGGGGGGCCATGCGCCACCTCGTCACTTAAGAAGATAATATACCTTCTTCCGGGTGACGATAAGGTAGCAGATCCGCGGTCACCGCCTGGAAGAGAGACACCAAGGTCAACTATACTGTTGAGGTCGGACACCGTTTTATGCTGGTTTTGCCTCGAGCTGGGGTCAATGATTGGTTACACCACGGCCACCAAAGGCCCTTAGACCAACGCTCGAAGCATTTGGTACCTAGAAACAGGCACAGATGCTAGCTAGTTTCAGCACTCGGCAATGATTGATAGATATGTTTCGAAAGGCCTGCGCTCAATCAAACAGCACCGTGGCCAGTACTCAGCCGCCACCCATCGTCTCGTCTGGAACTTCTTGAAAGGTCTCCGGGAAGAACCGCGGTGGTGGCCACATATCTGCGATAGATGGTGGGTGGACTAAAGGTTGGGATCCAGCCAGACGATCCGGATCATGACAGAATGCCTGAAAGGTGCTGTCGTCCAAGAAACCAAAGTCTTTCAACCCCGCCTCGCGGCTGGTAGCCCACTCGGTGGTGTCCAGGTATGCTAGGTCCTTGAAGATGGCATCCATGTCACCAGCATTGTAGTCCGCGCTGGTTGGGTTGAAAATCATTCCCTCGCTTGGTGGAACATTACCGGCCATCATCGCATTCGACGTCGAAGAGTCTGGGGTTGGCGGCTGCTGGTGAGCGCTGCCTGGTGGGAACATCGTGTCTGGGCCACTGCGCGGTGGTATATTGTCTGGCAAAACATCCATCATAGAATCCTTCGGAGTCATGTACTGTCCGTCCACCGGGATGCTGATGCCCATTACTGAAGAGCCATAGTCTCTCTCGCCCAGCGAACCGACGCCACCACGAACAGCACCTGGAGGGTGCATGGGGGCATCGGTTGCCAAAGGCGGCTGGCTGAGAGGCGCGACTGTAGAAGTATGGCCGATGGCTGCTTGAGACCCGGACGATACCGCCTCGGGAAGTTCCTTGGACTGCTGCCACCGTTCTATGGTGGAAACCAATGAATCGTAGACCGGCCACATGGGACTGAGCTCGGCCGTCTTTTGATGGAGTGCATCTGCCCATCGGACAAAGGGGAACGTATCTGACCCAATCGTATTGTGAAACGTGAGCGCCTCCGTAGTGATCGTGTGCAGGCTGAACTCGAAGAGCGGAGGAAGACCACACATGGGGAAATTCTCCAGGTGTTCTGACACAATGGGCAGCACCCGATATAAGAGTTTCTTCGCCCCTTCTATAGCCGGTCGCTGAGGCCGATGCAGGCCCTGTTCTTGTGGGGCAATGCGCAAGTAGAGCCAAAGGAGGGTGGCCAGGTAGGCTAGACCGAGATAGCTCTGATGAGGGAGCAGAGCTGAGTGCCGCTCTGGATAAATACTTTCCGGTCCAATCAGCCGACACCCCAGGGGCAAACAGTCATCCCACTGCTTCAAATCCACCACCAGCTGTCGCGCAAAGGCAGCCGCTTCCGGGCCCGTTGATGCGCATCTTCGGGCGTCATTCAGAACGCTAGCCAGTTCGACCAGGCGGTTGAAGCAGCTTAGCGCCAGCAGCGGTCCTCGGCGCGGCGGGTTCTTACCCTGTGCAGCGCCGGTGAGATCCGACCAAGAATTCCATTCCTCCAATCCATCCTCTTCCAAGAGACCAACAGCTCCCAGGTCTCTCGAACGCATGCAGGGACTCCGAGATAGGCGGAAAGAGAGCAACGAATCGACAACAAAGCATCCCAAGAAGACCGCCTTGCCCTGTTTCAATTCGTCAGACCGCCGAGTGTCCGAAAAGGCACCCAACCCCAGAGCGACGGCCATATGGTGCGCTTGACCACAAAGAAGCCAAGCCGCGTTCCAATCCTCGGTACCCATATTCACCAAAGTCAGGAGCAACAGTGCCTGAACATGGCCTAGCTCGTAGCGTTCCTTCTCTGATGGTATCAGGCTTCGGGAAACGGCATAGTATTCTTTCATGAGCGAGAGGACTCCAGTGGGACCTGCCCGTGGCTTTGTTTGAGATTGGGTAATGGTGTAGCTCAGAATGGCCCACAAGGCAGCGTGGTCCCCGGACCCGGGGGAGGATGTCGCGACAGAGAAAGGGGCGTTGGCGTAGAGGTAGGAGGCGCGGAGGATGTTGTGTTTGGCGACAATGGGGAACCATGAGTGAGTGGTGGCGAAATAGATATCTAGGAGGTGAGAGGTATGAGGCGGCAGTTGCAGCGTGTGGCTGCTGCTTGTTGCAGGCGCGACCCCCCGGCCATTTGAACCCAGACGGGCCCTCTTAGTACCGGGAGACACGCGGCTCGATGGCTCCAGCACGCGCGGAGCTTCCGGCCCCAGTGGAGTTGAACCTCTCGCAACACGGAATCCCCATAAGCCGTCGTCGTCGTCGAATTGGTTGCGCGATCGTTTCCCCGCTAGCGGTGCACGAGGTGCCTCTGAGCTGGACAGCATCTTCTCCAGCTCCCCGCACAAACCACTGGTCTTCCAGGATTCATGCAAGCTGTCAGAGGCACCGCCGTCCGTCCACAGCGACATCAGCGGTCCTCGGCGACTGGCGGATTCCGTCGTGGCGCCTAGCATAGACAGCATGGTGTCTTCGAAGCCCTCGATATTGCACAGTGCCAGCGCCCACAGCTTTTCCAAGCCTCGAACGTAGCCCTCGGGCAATCCCCGTTTCTTCGCATGGGGGTCATAGGAGCAGGTCTGGCCCGTTGCCTGGCAGGCGGAACAGGTGGGACGCACGCCATCACATTTATCCTGCGAACGTTCAATGGAAATCAGCGATCGGCACTGGGATACGCGCCCCCGAGAGTCGCGACTCACCTTCTTGCTGCGACACCGGTCGCATGCTCTCGATACCCTCTTGCGTCGAGGGACTTTGTCGGGACCCTCATCCATGACGAGGGATGGTTACGACCAGGAGCATCGCACGGAGCGACAGGTAGATGGGGGGGGTGGAAGGGGTCAGGAGCGACCAGAATGATTTTAGATGGAGCTGTCACGCCGACATGAAGGTCCCGGCAAGGACATCGGGAGTCCGTTCGGCTCGGATGAGATCCCCACGTCTCCACACGGACACCAATGTCTCTCCACACTACAGGATCGGTTTCGTTATTGTCGCTATACCGATTGACTTGGTACCTAAATACAATGTCTGTCCTCCGACCATCTATGCATCGTTCGCTTGTCTCGGCATCATCATCATTCATGATGATTACATGATCCATCCCGGTCGGGTAAGGGTTTTGCCGCGCGAATCACAGCCCCGTCGCAGACCCACGTCCTTCATCCGTCCGGGGATGTCTCGACGGGCTTCTTCCACGCCTGACGGACCGTACGACTCTTGCCTCCCAGGGAAGCTTCCCCCGAGGATATGCGAAAGCGAGCACCTACTCATCCTCTCCTTCCTTCGAATCCCAACTGGCTTTCTCCCTCCTGGCCCTTCCCTCCGAATGCATCTGATCATGGCGCGCGAGCAAACAACATAACCTAGCCCATCTGGTTCGTCACAATGCTCGAGTGGAAACCTCCTTTCCGGTCCAGCGTGGTCGTCTCCGACTCCTCCTCTCCCAGCGCCAGTGCCGCTCCGAGTCGCGAACCCACGCCGCACACCATGCATCGTCCGGAGATGCCCCCCGACGCCTCGCTGGTTCTTGTTGGCATTCGAGGGTGCGGGAAACGCTCGCTGGGCTTCGTCGCAGCCACCGCTCTGAAGCGACGGTTCATCACGGCCGACTATTACTTCCAGGAAACCACCGGCATAACGCGAAAGGAATATCTAAAGACCCATGGCAGCCAGAAGTTCCAGCGGCGCGATATCGAAGTGCTGAAGATGATGCTGGACAACAACCAGAAACATTGCATCATTGAGCTAGGTCTGGGCAGTCTTACTCGATCGGTTCAGGATCACCTCAGACGATACTGCCAAACAAACCCAGTGGTCCATCTAATCCGCGACATCAACCGCATCCAGCAATTGCTTGGGCTGGACGATGAAGCCGTGCGGCTCCTGCGCGATGGTGATTCATCACATCGGGCCTGTTCAAATTATGAATTCTACAATTGTGAAGATCGGACTGTCGTGGTGTCTGACGACGGCAGCCCGGATCGTCGGTCTGGCGACTACTCGTTCAAACTACAAGAGGTGAAGGAGGATTTCACGCGGTTTGTAAGCTTCATTACCGGTGCCAATGTGAACCATTCCAGCTATGACTCGCCCTTTGTTCTGCTCGAGACACCGCCGGAGCTTCGCTCCTTCACCCACGCCATCTTCGTGCGATCTTCCGATCTGATAGCAGACAGGGTCAATCTCCCCGAGCTTGAATCTGGCGGAGATGCCATCGAACTCTGCGTCGACCGCTGGAGTTCACAAATGGTGGCCACCGTCAGCGAGCAAGTATCAGTGCTTCGTCGAAATGCCCGAGCGCCAGTGATTCTTTCAATCGACGCGGCAGCTTTGGCCGCCGACGCCCACAATCAGTCTCCTGAACAGGCATCCCGGACTTATTTTGACATCCTGGAGCATGGACTCCGCTTAGGCGTCGAATATTTGGTTGTGGACCTGGGTCAGGACCAGTCTCAGCTGGCCCAGATTGTTCGCAGTCGGGGGGAAGACGAAGATCATCGGCCAACACATCTTTGGAGCATCTGCACGCGTCACATGGGAAGACGACAGTTGCGTTGCCATTTATCGGGACGCCGAGAAGCTCGGCTGCCAGCTGGTGCGCCTCCTCCGGGTAGCAGTGCAACGCGAGGAGAACGCAGCTGTCGCTCAATTTACCAGAAGGATTGGGAGACTTCCTGGAACGCATCCACCGCTGATCGCCTACAATATTGGCCCTCTGGGACGGACGTCTCAAATATTCAACTCCATACTGACCGCCGTCAAACACCCAGCCATCGTTCGTTTAGAAGAAAAAGTAAATCAGTGTGATCCGCAGCTCACGTCGGCCGACGTCATGCGTGCGCTCTGTCAGAGTTACATGCTGGACCCGCTCAAGTTCTACATCCTTGGCAAGGACGTTGCGTATAGCGTATCACCCGCAATGCATAACGCGGCGATCCAATACTGTGGCCTGAGCCACAAGTACAGCATCCCAGACTCGCCCTCACTCGCGGTTGTGGACCGGCTGGGCCGAGACCCGAACTTCGGTGGCGCCAGCGTCGTCCAGCCGTGGCGTGTCGAGGTATACCAGAAGCTGGCATCCAAAAGTCGGCACGCCGAGGCTATCGGAGCGATCAACACGATCATGCCCTTGCGAGAGGCTCCAGATGGTAGCATGTTTCCCCTGCAGGAGCAGGCGAGTCGACGCGGTCAGGCAGGCCGCCCCGTGGGGTTTTTTGGCGAGAATACAGACTGGGTGGGCATCATGACCTGCATCACCCGCCACCTCTCTCCGCGCAACGCTATCAGTGCGCCCAAGACGACTGGCCTGGTGATCGGTGCTGGCGGAATGGCTAGGGCCGCCATCTACGCCCTGCTGAGGTTAGGCTGTCGCAAGATCTTCATCTACAATCGAACGCAGTCCCGGGGGAGGAAGTGGCGAGACACTTCAACTCGTGGGCATCATCCCAGGTGGACTCGACCGAGGTCGTGCGGGTGCTTCGATCCACCCAGGATGACTGGCCTGCCGACGCTCTTCCTCCCAGCTTGATCGCCTCCTGTGTGCCGGCCGACCCTGACCGCGACGAACCCCCCGCGAACTTCGAGATGCCGATTCAGTGGCTCGGAAGTCCGACGGGGGGAGTTGTTCTCGAGGTGGGTGTTTCTTTTACATGTTGATTCGATCGTCCTCGCTAACGTTTCTCCCAGCTATCCTATAAGCCTTTGGACACGCCACTGCTCCGACAGATGCGGCGATTTCGCAGTGAGACCGGGCGACCCTGGGTCTTATCGGACGGGTTGGAGAATGTAATTGAACAGGGCATCGCGCAATTCGAGCTAATGACCGGACGAAAAGCTCCCCGAAGGCTCATGACCCGCGAAGTACTCCGAAATTATGAAGGTGAGGGAGGGTTTCGGTTTGACGAGAAGTCGATCCAGGCTCGTCTGGATGGCGTTTATTCTATGTGATAGACTTGGACATGTATAGTTAATATAAAGGCAGGGAAATTTCCAACCCTATAGCTGGCTTCCACGTAGTATATCACAATTAGTAATCATATCAAGACGAAGAACTTCCTGTAGCGCCTATCGTTGTCCAAGTATATCGCCCCAATACGGCAAGGCGGTGGGGCCGACAGGTACCCGTGACTGCCCAGGTTGGTTGGTTGGTTCTTTTGTTTTCCCAGGATTCATTATTCCTTCTTCTCCTTTTCAGTCTCGTCAAGATTATTTGCATACCGTGATATATATTGTTCTCTTCTCTGCCCAGCTCATGCATTGCTTCGAATATCGCTCTCCTTCCTCCCCCATGCCTGGCCTCTCGTCTGAGCAGACGGATCCCATTAGCTGGAGGAAACGCAAGAGAGACCATCAGGACGGAGTGACGCTGACTTGTTCGTAAGTGGCTTGTTTTGCTCACGTCTCATCTTCTCTCTAACATGGCTTTTCTCATAGCACCTCCTTCGTGCCATTCCCCTACCGAGTCGATCTCCCCGACCAACCCAACGGCTGCCAACTGCCCCTGTCAAAACACCCCTACTCGTCAACTAGAGAAGTAGGTGACCTCTCATCATGTCGTCCTCGCTGTCTTCCTCGCAAACGCCGGCATGTACAGCCGCTCTCGATCCCACCATACCAGCAGCCGTTCCAACAGGGGCATCTCGATGATCTCTCTTATCCATCCCACTCACCAAAACTGCTCTTCCCCAATGTCTACAGCACACCTACAGACCTATGCTCTCCACCAGTCTCCCCAAAGACCATTGTCCCACTATCCTACCAATCTGCATCAGCCTCGTCCCTGCGCCCGTGCCACATCTGTTACCGCAAACCAACGACCCGTGGGGTCCTGGATGCGTATGCGGACTGCGATCTGTGCAGACAGCGAGCCTGCTATATCTGTGTCCGGCAATGCGACTCGCCCGTCTGTACCGGTCAGGAAACTCACGATCCTAGTTTTGATGAAGGAGGTTCCACGATTCAGCGGAAGATCTGCTCCAGCTGCGCCGTTGAAGGCCTGACTGAGGCTGGTGTGGAAACCGTGCGCTGTCTCGAGTGTGTTAGGCAGGCTCCATGGTCCCAGAACCTGAATTGGGTGCAGCATGCCAGCATGAATGAATAGACGCGCCTTCCGAATCCGTTTACAGACAGCCCAGACGCCCATTCTCCGGGCATTTATATTCATGACGACAATGACCCTACGAAGCCAATCGATTTTCATGTTCTTTTGCGCAGCTTTCCCGGACTCTGTTTGCTTGCATTGCCTTTATATTTGTTTTCATATCATCTACAGTTATGTTTTGACACCGCATTGATACCACTCATTTGCCTTTTAGTTTTTCTTTTATGGTGATACCAGCACAAGCCACAATATGCATAATGATCATTTTTCCGTTAATCTCTGGTGTTGGAATGCCCCCAATGCAAGTGTACCTTTGATAGACAACATAATAAGAACATGGATTGAAATGCCGAAGCCGAATATCACACCCTTCAGGTTTGGACCATCACCGTCCAAACCGCATTTGCGCGCCGGCAAAATGCCACAACCCGCGCATGAACCCTTGATACTCAACCCCCTCCCCATAACCAGTCGTCCCATAACTGCGATCACCGGTACAATACATCTCCGTCAGCCGAATCTGCCAGGGCGGGTACCCATCCAGCTTCAGGAAATTCCCAAACACCAGGAGGAGATCCGGCTCGGGGTTGAAAGACAAGGCACTGCTCTGTGCCGAGTCAGATTGTAATGGCTGCGTCGTGATCTCGCTAATCTCCGCGTCGACCAGTTCGGGCGTGATGTCCTGAGGCGACAGCTTGCCGTTCTGCGACATCTCGGCCAGGGTCTTGGTCAGGTCAACAAAGGTCTCGCGGCCGTCGGTGGAGGAGAGGAGGAGGAGCGTGAGGGATGCTTTGTCAGAATTGTGACTTGGTGCACTGCCATAGACCGGGTGATGGGGTGCGAAGAGTTGTAGGCTTGGTTGCTGTGACGGCGAGCCGTAGTATGAGGCTAGTTTCGTGGTTATGATCTGGTGTAAGGTTGGTATACAGGATTTGAGGACCCCTATTAGGCTAATTAGTCTCTGTTTGCGGTAGACAGCTCTGAAGAGATCGTACCGGTCTTCTCATAAACGCTTAGTTGGGGAATGCCCGCGCAGGCACTCCAAGCCGCCAGCTCGGCCACCTCATCCATCAAGACAGCTAGCGCATCTTCCTCCGTGCGCAGAGTCAGTATGACACTTAGGTGCTGTGGGAGACGTTTCAGCCCGCGGACATCTTTGCGAATGAGCTCGGGGGTGCGGTGGTGGTGGTAGACGACGGCGAAGACGCGGTCCACGACGGCATGGTAGGCTTGGATAAGTCGCACGACGACGCCGAAGATGATGTGCGTGACAGCATAGGTGAGCTGGTGCAGCTGCGACTTGAGAAAGGTGCGGATGGGCTTCCTGCGCGGCGCTTTCTGTCGCCGGGAGCCGTAGGAAGTGGAAGTGGACGCCCTGGGTTTGGAGTCTGGGAGCTCGGAGGGATCGGGAAGATATGGTCGGATCAGCTTTTCGCGGTCGGCGGCACTCAATTTGGCCCCTCGCGACCGGATCTCCTCGCGCAGGGTCTGGCGTTCCCGTTGGGAGACCATGGTGGTGGTGGTTTGCTGGTGGTGGTGTGTCAAGTGGAAAAGTGGACGTGGCAGCGAACAGAAAGTTGAACAGTGAACACAGGCTAGAAAAGAACACGATAATAAGAATACTCGTTGAGAGGGGAATGGTCTCACCCGAAAACAACCATGAGTGAATGTCAGAATGATCCTCGGTCCGATCTTAAAGAAAAAAAAAACACATGATCTGATGATTAGTCTGTCTCTTACCAGATCTCTCCAGGCAGATAGATCTGGACCCTATACCGTTCCTATACACAATAACATAACAGCACAGCTCCGGATTGACGAACGAACGATGTAGATTTACAAGCATACAATCTATAAAGCATACACATCTTGCTAATGAACAGATCCTATGATGATGATGAGTATCATACTTGTCGACCACAACTATCTCTCAGTGCGTGGTCGGACCATCCGTGGCAATACTCAACCAACCAACCAACCACTCATTCCAGCTTCCCCAGATTCCTCCTTCACCACGCTCAACTCCCTCTGCCTCTGCCACCCCTTCCCACAACCCCAGGCAGCTGCACAATCCCACACCTGTCGCAGTGACCCCATGAGGTCACTCCCTTCGCCATGATGCCCGACAATGCATCCATCGCGTCCTCCAACCCTGCCCGCAGCATCTTCCCAAAGGGCCCTAGCTTCACCCTCGAGGACTTCTCCAGCCGTGATTTCATCGTGAAAGAGTTCATCGAGGCGCTTTCGGACAGCGCCATCTCTGGTCGTCGCTCGGCAGCTGGCACCGCCGCCTCCAACCAACCCTTCGATCCGAAGCCCCTCATCCGAACCTTCGAACATGCCCAACGGCGCCTGGGCGAGCTCTCAGGCGATCTGGAGATCCGGGAGAATGAACTGTCTGCTGCCGTACGCCGAGCAGAGGCGCAACACTCGCAAAACCTCACCACTCTTGGCCGGAAGCTTCGGCAAACAATCGAATCCTTCCAGCAGCTTGACACGTCGTTGAACGGCTCGGGAGGGGGACTCGAGAACTCAGGCGGCACCGGAAACATGGCGGTGGAAACCGGAAAGAGACTAGAGGAGCTCGATCGGCAACGACGGCGCGCCCTGGATGCGCACTTCCTGCTCGAATGCTGGGAAGGGGTCTGCAATCGGGGTGAGATTTCACTTCTGGAGAATCTACGGCGGTCTGGCACAGGAGAGGCCAAAGTACGATCAGCACACATTGCACGGCAACTGCTGCGAATTAGCCAGCGGTTAGACCCGCAGAGCTGGCACGAAAATGCAGGCACGACCAATGGATATCCGGCCAACGACTCCTCATCGGAGGAACTGAACGCTGAAGGCAGCGCACCGCGACGGAATACGAGGGAGATCATTGAAAAGTTCTCCGAAACTCTTGAGAAAGACCTGCTGAAACAGTTTGATGATTTCTACCGCAAGGCCAACTTTGAGGGCATGAGAGACTGCGCGAATGTGCTGCAGGATTTCAACGGCGGCGCCAGCGTCATCGCCCTCTTCGTCAATCAACACCAGTTCTTCATCGACCGCAGTCAACTGGTCACGGAGGAAGTGGGCGGCGACCCGGAATCATGGGAGAAACTGGCCGACCCCGACGCTGAGCTTCCCGGAGTCGAGTCCAGCTTGCAGTCGTTGATCGACGAGGTGAAGGTCGTGGTGCAGGAAGAGTCAGCCATCATCCGGCGAGCCTTCCCGTACTATGAGCAAGTCCTGGGCAAGTTCTTGCAGCGAGTGTTCCAGCAGTCGATCCAGCAACGACTCGAAATGGTCCTGGAAAAAGCCAGTGGAGTCTCGTCATTGGCATTTTTACGATGTCTACAGAGCTCTCGCGGTTATATCAGTACCTTGGTTGACGACCTGAAGGCGCACGGACTGACCGAGCACCCGGACACGATCTCATCTCAGACGGCGCTGCTACTTGATCAGCAACTGGAGGAGCTGTTCGTTCCATACTTCGTGGGATCGTCCTACATTGAACGCGAGAGGCGCACCTTGGAGGAGTTGATTAATGCCCTATTGTTCAAATTCCATACCTTTCATGCCCGCCGCAAGAAGGCGGCAACTACCTTCATGGCGTCACTGTCTCGGCAGGAAACAGAACTTCTGTCAAGCTCCCGTGATGGATTTATTAATCGCTTGGAGTCAGCCGACATCTCACCCATTCAGCGCCGGATGCTCCAACAAGTGGCTAAGATAGGAGAGATCCCCGACACGACGCGCCTGGCTGAGATTAAGCTGAACGAGGAAGATGGCCTGCCGAATTTGAGCGATGCTAAGCGCATGCTGAAGTGGCTGGCGGAGGCTGTAGGCCGCGGGCTGGAGCTAAGCGTCAACAGTGACACGCACAAAGATGTGTCTGCCTTGTTGAATTTGCTCCTGACTAACATGGGCGAGGCTTATGTGGAGGTTTGTCTTGACGCCGCCCTGGAAGCAGCCACCACCCAAGAATCGGGCAAGACAGAGCCTGATTTTGCGTATCTACCGTCGGTGCGGACAACCATCAGCATCACCACACTGATGGTGATGTGCGTTCACGCTGTGCTCCTTCCTCTGGCGACGGCGAGCATTACCACCCGCCGGGATATGGAGAAGCGGACCAGCCAGAGGACGGCGGGCATTGAAGAGAAGATCAACTCGATCGAGCAGAAAACCATCGATGCAACCCTGGCCTGGGTCGGTCGATTGCTTTCCGGACAGAAAAAGAACGACTTCCGGCCCCGGGAAGGGGATAACGCCGCGTGGTTGGAACAGCTGCAGACGCCGGTAAGTTCTGCCCCCTTTTTTCTTTACGTCGGAGAATTGGACAACTAAGGATGTGGCCAATTCTAGACCTGCGCTTCGATCTGCGCCTTTTTGGGTCGCCTGCACAACATCGCGCGGACATCGCTGCCGGCAAGCGGGGCCAACGTCCGTCAAGTGCTGACCGAAATCGCGCTGGGGACGCGCGGATTGTTGCTGGAGCACTTCAAGCGGTTCGCCGTGAGCGGACCCGGGGGGTTGATGGTGACCAAGGACATGACCCAGTATGCGGATCTGCTCAAATCCTGGGACATTGACGACGAGCCACGGGGGGCCGGCGGTGCGCTGGACGTACTTCTGGAAGTGGGCAGTCTGTTTGTCATCGGCACCGAAGCCCTGCGCGAGCGCATCCGCGGGGGTGCTGCCAGCGGAGCCACCGGCGGGTCCGGGACTGGAGCCCGGGCTCAGGTGGAGGCCAAACTCAGTGTCCAGGAAGTGCGGGCGTATGTATCACGGCGGGAGGACTCGAATACGGTGGCGATGCAACAGGTTCTCAATGCGCTGTGAGGGCAGAAGGATCATTTACTACTATAGACCAAGCTTGGGAAGTTACTACGATGTATCAGAGAGGCGCCAGGCCCCACTAATCAACCAATTGTCTTTGACAGCTCATCTGATGAACAACCGGGCTAGACGGTTAATTGCCCCTCCCAGATGCGGCTGGCAGCGATTGGCGGCTC